TGAAAGTAGGCAAATGTGGTGCACGATTTTATAAAAAGGTTCTTTCATTTAATCCAAAAAAATAGCCCACTTAAGGTGTCAATAAAATGTTAATAAAGTTTCTATTTAAGATTTTACATTTAAGAAAACAGTCACTGTTAACTGCATGCAAAGATCCGTTTATGTTTATTTAAAAAAAAGGTTAAAAAAACCCTATATGCAAATTTTCAGCTTTAATTTACACATAAGAATGTAGATATATATGACACCTTTTCCCCAAATGATCCTGAAATTGGTTGACATTATTGCTTCATTTCATGTAATGTAATTATGAGATGTATTTTCATTCTTCTGTTTCACATTTTCTTTTTATTCCACAATATGTTTAAGTGTTTATGATTTGTAACAAATGTTCATGTATCAAAAACCAAAAGTATATTTTTATTAGAATGCTAGCACAGTATACTTTCAAAATTAATTCATAGTTGATGCATACAAGTTTTTTATTCTGTACATATGGTCCTCCCAAATAATCTACTTTTTTAATCTGATACAGACACATACAACAACAACAACAAAAACAAAAAAACAAGCCAGGTGCCTCGGTTTGAACCTGGCATCCCAGTTAGTTGGGAGGCTGGGACAGGAAGATCACTTGAGGCCAGGAATTTGAGACCAGCCTGGACAACATAGCAAGACCCTCTCTAAAAAACAAAACAAAAACAAACAAAAAAATAAAACAAGCGAAGTAAGTAGAAAAAGATTTGAGGAATAATATCAGTGCATAGAAGAGCACCCAAAATCATACGTGCACTGAAAGAATGATTTAAAATATCAGATATGATGTTCTTATATGCATCTTAAAAAAGAAAAAAAAAACAACCCTGTTAATGGCCATGCTCTCAAGTGTGGCTAAATTTTAGGTATAAATTTAGGTATTTTGAACTGTCAACTCTTTACTTATTCACAAATTAGTGCACATTCTGAGCGAATGAATAAACATTTACTTGAACAGCAATATGTATTACTATTGTGAAAACAATTACTGAAGTCAATGAAATGTTATATATGTATATTTTAAATGACAGTCACAAAGAATAAGCATATGGCTGGCCATAAACCTAGGATTCAAGGAGGCTGAGGCGGGCCATCACCTGAGGTCATAAGTTCTAGAACAGCCTGGCCAACATGGTGAAACTGCATCTCTACTAGAAATGAAAACATTAGTCAGGTGTGGTGGTGGGTGCCTGTAATCCCAGTAGGAGAATGGCTCAAATCCAGGAGGTGGAGGTTGCAGTGAGCCAAGATCATGCCACTGCACTCTAGCCTGGGCGACAGAGTAAGACTCCATCTCAAAAAAAAACAAAAAAAAAAACAAAAAAAAAAAAACAAAAAAAAACAATAAGCATAAAATAATTTTTATTCTAAATGCGCAACATAAAATTTAGGTATAATTTTTAAGGCTGATGACTATCAGATGGGTCTTAATAATTTAAATATGGATAGGTGGTACCTTACACATGAAAAGACAATCTGCTGAAGATGAATGCTCATGATATGTTAGAAAAAAAATCTTTACAAAAAAAGAGATATAGGTAGGTGGAGATTTACCAAATTAGTTTTAACACACTACATATTCATGTAACAGTCATAATGCATTAATGGTAAAACCAATTCTTATTTGAATTTATGTCTAATATTTGAATTAATGTCAAATATTAAATTAGATATTGGAGAGACATGCGTTGTTCTGACCAACTACTATCCACTTTTGCTACTGATTTTTGTACATATTGGCACAAACATTAAAATGTCCTATCACGTAGAAAGTACTGAATGGAGACAGCTTTTACTGTCTGCTGTACTTCTGGTGTATCTGTACTGCTTCACAGGAAAGTTCCTTCCATATTCCCCCCAAACATTTTTATGGTATTGGCTAGATTTCTTACTCTTACTATCCTGAGAAAAATATCAGAATTACTGAAGTCTGTAACAAATATCCAAACTGCTTTTTGTTAACTGAAAAAAAAAAAAAAAAAAAAAAAAACACTTATGAGTCCAATGAAATCTTTAGGTATTTTGGCATCAGACACCAGGTATAAACAGATATCTACTTATCACATTGTAGCACCACTATTTTGTTGTTCTAAGCATAAGATGAAAACAAATATGCTATTATGTTTGTCCCATAATCTTAGAATTATCATATTATGATCTGGATTTTTATGTTTGAGTGATAAATCTGTCTATAAAACTAAAGTTCACTTGAAATCAAACTATATAAAAAGTATAGCAACTTAGAAGTTTGTAACAATCCCTGACTTGGGTTCAGATTTCCTTTCTTCTATGCTTTTGTAATAGGCAAAAAGTGTTATTAATAAAGCATCAATTTGTGTGAGAGAGAGAAAGAGAAAGAAAGTAAAAGAGAGATAGAAAGAGGAAGGAAGGAAGGAGGGAGGAGGGAGGGAGAAGGGGAAGGGAAGGAAGGGAGGGAAGGATAGAAGGAGGGAGAGAGAGAGAAAGAAGGAGAGAGAAGAACAAAGGAGGGAGGAAGAGGGAGAGAAAGAGGGGAAGGGTAGGGAAGGGTAGAAAAAAGAAAGAGAGAAAGAAAGAAAAGAAAAGAAGAAAAAAGGAACAGGAAGCTTATTGAAAGAGCACCATTTTTTCCAGGCAGCTATTTACCCTACACTGATTTTGACTGACTAAAATACTCATCTCACTCTACTTGAAAACTATGATGAGTGCAATAAAATTAAGCAGTCAAAATAAAATCATCCCTGAGGGTTCCTTAGCTAAGTAGATGGGGGTATGGGGAACTGCCTTAGTTCAAGGTTTGCTAATGGAGCCACCATGTTCCCAATTCAAAACGTATCCTGTCCATGTCCCCAACGCTCCATTCCCCTTTTCCTGCTCCACTTTTACTTTCTCCCATAGACTTATTGCCCTCTAACAACTACACAAGTGATTTTTATTATGTATTTTTAATTTATTATAAATACGTTTTTGGTCCATCTTCTCCAACTAGAATGTAAATGGCACAAGGGCAAAAAATGTTTCTGTGCTCAGAACAGTGCCTGGCATAGCTGGTACACCATAAAACTCAGTTGAATGACCAGATTTGTGATTTATGCCCAGAAAAGAAGTCTGAAAATAAATATTTAAGATTGACCAACGGCATAAAAAAGCTAACTGTGATTCCAGTAAAGATCACATTTACCTTTTACATACAAGGGTTATAATTTTAAATCCATCACATTCTCATGAATTTCATTATGACTTTGGTTTTACAGTTATCTATATAAAATCCTCCAGAGCCAATTCTAATTCCTACAAGCCTTCAATCAAAGCGCAACAAAAGACATGAGAATTTTAATAAACACACTAACATTCACATTTAGTTTCCAGCACTTACTTTTTGCTTTGCTTTATGTGGGAGGCTTTGTGTTGTGCCACGGTTTTATGGAAAAATAATGACAGTCTTATAATAAATGCCTATTTATTCAAATTATCTCTACAAGCAGAATTTGAGCAGTATGTAAGATTCAGCACAAAGGAGGGGAGAATAGTACTGAAATGCTCAAGCTAAAAATGTGAAATATACAGAAAGATTTATTATAAGTTTCCTCTTGTACCTCTAGCCAGACAGAACAAGTCACAAATTGTCTGAATATCCACAAGATGAATTTTTGCTCTTGTTTTGGCTTAAACCATGACAAACGTTTTCGTTGCTTTTTAACACCCAAGTGTTCTCCCCATTCCCTCCCTCACCCACCCACACATTATTTTGACTTTATTACTTTACTTTTCAAAAAGTTGGGTTTCACTGAAGACAAAACTTGTCATGTAGGAAAATGTACTAAAAGCCTGACATTTGGTTTCAACATACTTTGAAATGCAGAAGAAAATTTAACAGAAACTGCCATTGAGATGTTTTGGTGGCTAAAATGAGGCTTAAGAATAGCACGTTTTCAAAATGAACAGAAAATTACTTTTGATCAAAGCTCAAAGTCTTTCATTGTTGTATTTTTGCCATGGTAGCAACCTGGTCTATTATTATTTCTTGAACATTAAATACAAGAATAAAAACCATATAGCATTTGATAATACAGAAAAATCAGGTCATTCTAAGATTTTTGGCTGACAATGGAATGTGGTGATACATAATTCTGGAAGCATATTTTGCCTCAAAAGGTAATCTGAGTCAAACCAAACAATATTTGTGAAAATATCCACATTCATTTATTAACTACTTTTTTTTTTTTTTTTTTTTTTTTTTTTTTATGAGACAGAATCTCACTCTGTCACCCAGGCTGGAATGCAGTGGTGTGATCTCGGCCCACTGCAACCTCCACCTCCCAGGTTCAAATGATTCTCCTGGCTCAGCCTCCTGAATAGCTGGGACTACAGACCTGTGCCACCACACCCAGGTAATTTTTGTATTTTTGTAGAGATGGGATTTCACCATGTTGGCCAGGCTGGTCTCAAACTCCTGACCTCAAGTGATCCTCCTGCTTCGGCCACCCAAAGTGCTGGGATGACAAGTGAGAACCATGGCACCCGGCCAATTATCAACTTTAAAGCAAGTGTGCTGACTCTCTAGGTTGAAATATTCTAGAACTCTGCTGTAATACTTTATTTCACTGAAGATTTGAATGCTATCTGAAGTTTGTACCATGCTACTGCCTCAAAATGCTTTGAAACAAACTTGTATTGTGTTCAAAGATACTCATTTCTATTATTTAATTGCCCTGATGTATGATTCATATATTACAACAGTGTTTGCTATCCCCACTTTACAAAGGTTCCAGTAAAGCAAGAGTACCGTTCTTCAGAGATGTCTTAAAAGTCTCTGCAAGTCAATTAAGTACAAAAAACTAAGGATTTTGTTTCAGAGACCAGATAAAAGGTGTTCAAGAGGAGAAGATTTTTAGCTTGAAAACGTCAAGTATGATTCACTTTGAAGTTAAATTCTTACTACCTGACTTAGTTCCTCAGAATTATACACAGAAACAAACACTTACCAACCAAGACAACGAGTCTGTATTTCTCATTCGTTTGTCGCCGATACGGTGTCACTTCTTCGTACGTGGGTACGTCAGCTGTGTCGTACTGATCACTCTTCTTGCATTCATACATGGATTTATTTGTTTTCTTATCTTTTCTACTAAGACGAAAACTTCTTCTAAAACCAGCTGCAAATATTAAAATAAATATATTTTTAGTAAGATGAACCAAAAAAGAAACCCTCAAGAAACAAAAATAAACCCTCAGAGTTGAGTTGGATTTTATTTACCATAATATTGTATTTTTTAATGTTAAAACCCAAATGTTTCAGAGACAAGGTCTCACTCTGTTGCCCAACCTGGAGAGCAATGGTACCAGCAGAGCACACTGCAGTATTGAACTCCTGGGCTCAAGCAATCCTCCCGCCTCAGCCTCCCAGGCAGCTGGGACTACAGGCACGCACCACCATGCCCGGCTAATTTTTAAAATATTTTGTAAAGACAGGGTCTTGCTATGTTTCCCAGGCTGGTCTTGAACTTCTGGCCTCAAGCAATCCCCCTACTTTAGTTTCCTAAAGTGTTGGGATTACAGGCATGAGCCACTGTGCACAGACTATTGATCATAATATTGTTATAAGTGCATTCAGTGAGAAAAAATTAATAGTATACATTTTTATTAAAACAATAACTTAGAATTAACTAGCATTTATTCATGTAGTTATAATAATGTAAAATTTGATTTAAACAATAGAGAGCTTTGTTGAAAAACATTAATGAGTAAAGTAGCTGTTTAACAAAGCAAAATAAGCCAGAAATCATAATTTATCATGAACTGATTGGTAAACACATTTGATATGAAAAAGTTAAAAACACATTTAAAGTGTAACCAACAAGTTTTCTCATTCATAAACATTAACAAACTTTATACTACTTTCTAAGCATAATCTAACAACGTACCATAGCACAGATGGCATCTATTGTTAAATAAAAAGAAAACTAAATTAGGGAGCATATAGTGTATGACTATGCATCAGTCAGGCAGACAGAACCAGGCTCACTTGGTCAACAATTAGTTGGTATTCAGCAAGTCATTTAACTTTAACTGGACTCCAGCGGATGGAATAAATGATCAAGTCTCAGGTTCTCTCCTCTAATGGAGATGCTATGCTTTCACAATGTGACATACACAAAATTAAGAAATAGGGTCAGGTGCAGTGGCTCATGCCTGTAATCCCAGCACTTTGGGAGGCCAAAGAGGGCAGATTGCTCGAGCCCAGGAGTTCAAGACCAGCTAGGGCAGAAACCCCATCTGTACTAAAAATACAAAAAAACTTAGCTAAGCATGGTGGTGCACATCTATAACCCCAGCTACTCAGGAGGCTGAGGCAGGAGAATCGCTTGAACTTGGAAGACAGAGGTTGCAGTGAGCTGAGATCACAGATTGCACCACTGCACTCCAGCCTAGGTGACAAAGTAAGATTCTATCTCAAAAAATATTTTTTTAATTTTAAATACCCCAAAACCCATACACCCATACACACACACACACACACACACACACACACACATATATCAGTTACATAGTTCAAAATAAAATGCAAGTACGTTTTGAAGGTATAAAAATACATTCTCCTCAAAAAGAATATTCATTCACTTCAATAAGTAAAATTTTTTATAAACAAATATTTTGAAACAAAATGAAAAAAACGTAATAACTCATTTGTGTGGATTTTAGGGAATATAGTCAGCTGTCTGAATCTGTGGCTTCCATCCATGTAGATTTAACCAATTATGGAATGAAATTTTTTTCACTGCATCTGTATTGAACATGTACTGAGTGTTACTGCATCTGTATTGAGACTTTTTCTCTCATCATTATTCCCTAAACAATAGAGTATAACAACAATTTACATAGCATTTACGTTGTATTAGGTATTATGAGTAATCTAGAGATGATTTAAAGTATACAGGAGGATGTGCGTAGGTTACATGCAAATACTACATAACAGGGGCTTGAGCATCTGCAGATTTTGGTAACCAAGGGGGTCTTGGAACCAATCTCCCATGGGTACCATGGGATGACTACATAAAAGAAATGAATAATTGTTACCATTGGGTTTAAGAAATTAACAGGATTCAAAATAAAGAAAATATAAAACAATTACCAATGGCTAAAAATGGCTTTATCTGACTCACCTTATGGATTCAGAGTTTAATAAAAATCAATCAAGATATTAAGGACAGAGTGACTAAAGTTCATCTGATAACATGCTTCTGTGGCCCTCTAAGAGTCACTCTGATTTTGAGAAGATATTTGGGTTGAGAGAAAAGGTTATTTATAAAGGATCTGAAACAGTTGCTCTAAAGTTCCTTTAAAAAAGTAAAGAGGAGAAGAGAACAGGATAAGTCATAAACACATGGGTTTCCTATAAGACAGAGATGGCATCCGAGGGAAGCTGGGAAGCTAGAAGGTAAATGCATCCCTCTGGCCCTCAGATGAGAAAAAGAGGTGGAATTCTAACATCATATGTGCAGAGAGGATTCAAACTTCTATGTAAAGAGTCAGAGAAAAAATTGTCTATTATTCTTTGTTCATCTTGTTTTGTAGGTTATAAGGAAAGCTTCGTAGAACCCAGAAAAGGGGACCCGTTTTTTGTTTTTTGTTTGTTTGTTTTTTTTGAGACAGGGTTTGGCTCTGTTGCCCAGGCTAGAGTGCAGTGGTGCAATCTCAGCTCTCTGCAACCTCTGCCTCCTGGGGTCAAGCCATCTTCCCACCTCAGCCTCCTGAGTAGCTGGAACCACAGACATGCACCACCATGGCTGGCTAAACTTTTTTGTGGCAGAGATAAGGTTTCACCATGTTACCCATGCTGGCCTTGAACCACTGAGCAAAAGTGATCCACCTACCTGAGCCTCCCAAAGTGCTGGGATTGTAGGCATGAGCCACCAAACCCAGCCACCTCCCTGTCACAGCCATCACACACCACACCAGAAGTAGCCAAAGTCCTCACAACTACTCCTCGTGCTTTGGCACAGTGGTTTTCAGACAGTTTCTTCGTAATTGCAGAATTTAGTTATCGCAAACCGCCCCAGCACCTACTCTTGTCACTGGTGCATGCTGGCCCAGACTGGAGCCCAGTATAGCAGGCCTTCTGGTGCAGCACAAAGATGATACATGAGCTATTCTAACAACAAGTTAGAATGCGGGTATTTCACAGCATTCTGATTTCATGATCTCACAGCTCTTGCCTCATCACAGGCAATTACAGGATAAGCAGGTAGCCTTTACAATTATTCCTTCTATGGAGGGAGGCTTGCCGTCAAGTCTACAAACTTTTGGCACAGGAATGGATATAACAAGAACATAAATGTTTCATCCATGAGAAATAACATCCCAAAGTAATAACCTGACAAATTTCTGAGGAGCAAATCTCAGCTTAATCTTGAATTTCAATGTGCTTACCAAATTTAGTCTTTACAATTCCCTCAAGTTTTTAATTTCTTTCTTTCTTTTTTTTTAAGACAGGGTTTCACTTCTGTAGCTCAGGCTGGAGTGCAGTGGTGCCATCTTGGCTCACTGCAACCTCCGCCTCCTGGGTTCAAGTGATTCTCATGCCTCAGCCTCCTGAGGGACTACAGGCATCTGCCACCATGCCTGGCTAATTTTTGTATTTTTAGTAGAGACATGTTGGCCAGGCTGGTCTCGAACTCCTGACCTCAGGACATCCACCCACCTCGGCCTCCCAAAGTGTTGGGATTATAGACGTGAGCCACTGCACCCAGCCAAGTTTTTACTTTCATCCTAAACAATGAAGAGTTAGTGAGAAAAAGAGAGAAGTTAATCAGATCTCCTAAAGTGATGTTGCATGAGCGTCAAAGATGGATACCATGTCACACAGATGGTTTGGTGATGTCAGTTGCACAAGGCTTGCTACAGAACAAGTGCTTGATAAATGTTTACTGAATGGAAGTAATTTTAAAAGGTAGCAAAAAACCTCTATGATCATTCCTGTTTCATCTACTTCATGTAAATTTCAATGACGAAAGCATGACACATTTGGCATTTTCTAAGAGTTAAAATTCTAAGAGGTGTCAAAGGCTAATGCTCCACAAACAAGCAAGCCTTAGAGCTGGAAGAAGCTCTGGAGGTCATCTAAGCCTGCTCCCCACCATACACTGCACTTGTTCACATCGCAACACCAATCAATTCGCACAAGTTACGAAGCTTTGATGCCTTGAATGATACGTTACAGTGCAAAGGAGCAAAGGCACTCAGGTCACCACAGGGGTTCCATGGGAGCAGCCGCTCACTGAATGGCAATCTGGACCAGGACCTAGGCTCTGCTGACTTACTTCTCAAAGCTCATTTCCTCTACTTTACAATACAGATGATAGTAGCATCTGCCTCAAAAGGTGGTTAAGGATTGAATAATTTATGTAAAGCTTTCTGTCCATCTCTGGCATACGGTAAGCACTTTATATGTTAGCTACAGATTCATGCTACAATGCCTCCAACTACTTAAAAGAACCTTAAAGGCAGGCACATGTATCCCCTGTAGTCCCACAGCACAGAGTCTAATACAAATTTAAAAAGCAGGACGAGGAGGCAGAGCTAAGAGGCTCATTAATAAGTTTTAAATTGACTAATATATAAAACAAACAAAACGTTAAAATTAAATATGTTAAATATTGTAGATGCCCTAAAGTACCTTATTAAATATTAAGACATTTTAAATACAACAGAAATAGCCAGGTGTAGTGGCGCATTCCTGTAATCTCAGCTACTCAGGAGGCTGAGTCATGAGAATCACTTGAATCCAGGAGGTGGAGGTTGCAATAAGCCAAGATCCCACCACTGCACTCCAGCCTGGGCAACAGAGCAAGACCTTGTCTCTAAATAAATAAATAAATGCACGCAGTTGCAGGAAAGGATTAGTATGTATTAACTATTTTTTCATTTCTCTTCACAGATTCTCTTTCTAGGAATATAGCTATTTATTACCATATTTCTATCTAAAGAGAGTATACTTTCCTTTGGTCTTTTTACTTACTCCCCTGATTCACAAATACATATAAATGCTCTGTGTTTAAATACACACACATCTGATATATATACATACATATGCACATATACAGACACATATATACATGTAAATACATATATATGTATACACACACAGAGTGAGAAA